GAGCAAGCGAGTTTCCGAAACCCATGAGGAAACGTCCACCCATGAAGTAGTCGAGGTTCTTAGCGGCGGCCTGGATGGAAGCTGCGATAATCATGATAACACATCCGAAGGTAATGCAGGCGCGACGTCCAAAGCGATCGGCAACGAAGGGAGCGACGGGAAGCGAGGCAATCGAACCGATGGAGTAAAGAGCAGTCAAGAGACCGAGAGTGTCTCCCTTTGGGTCGCCGAAGAACTCCGTCCACTTAGGCAGAATACGAAGGTTGTTCAACATGGAACTGGAGTGGGTTAGCTTTGGTCAATTGGATAACAGTAATGGGAAGACTTACCCATCGTAACCTGTGGTCGCAGAAGCGATACAGATGAAGAAGGCGTAGAAGTAGAGCTTGCGGAGACCGGCGTCGGACCTCCAGTTGACTTTCTTGAGGTGAGGAGCTTCAGCCTGAGCAGCTTCGACGTCGGATCTGCTCTTCGCAACGGCACCCATCTTGGGCGTGAACTTCTGGTAGAGACCCATGGCGTCCGACTCTTAGTCCGTAGACTGCTTGTTGAATCGAAATAACGAGGGAATGAGTGAAGGTTGGTTTTGAAACACACAACCTTACACTGTCCTGGGCAGCAGGGTATATAAGCTGTTGACTTGTCGGGTTGGGCTGATTGCAGCTGAGCCTGGATAGATTGAACATGTTGGTGCTTCATATATATGCCTCCCAGCCTGCACGATACTATCCTCGCAGAGGACCTTGGCTCCAGAACAACGGTCTAGCGGACCGGTTAAATTCGACTGGAGAAATGTGTGGCACTCTGCGCGGATGAACCGCCGTATGGGGTAGAGTGGGCGGCAAATTGCCCAAAACGGTGGGGTCAAGGGTAGCTTGCCCAGACCCCAAGCTTCGTCTTGCCCATGAACGGATCATCTTGTTACCAGTGTCAAGTCGGCCTCGGCGCGCGGGACGGTCAGCCGTCAAGAACAACAAGAAGCCTAAGCAATGAGGCTCATTTGTCTTGTGATGGAATTGTTGGACCTGGCCTGATGGATGCATGCCTACAGTGCGACAAGGCCCGCCAGCCCGGTATGCCCTCGTGAAGCTCACCTGGGCAAGGACAAGCCTCCAGCCGCGACCTTGTTCCGGCTCGGCCATACAGGCTTGACACTTCCGCCAACCTTCTCGAAGGTCGTGATCAGCTGCGAGAGTGTCGCATGCTACGGTTGAATAGATTAACCAGCCACTAACCCCTTACTCTAAGCTCACGACTCCAGCGACCGAGAACGTGGGTCTGACAAGCGCATTTTCAGGGTCTCCCCATAATGATTGGGGCCAGCCTGGGGAAAACAGTAGAGCACGCGGAGCCGAGGTGATGAGGCGTGGTTGGCGGAAAGATGGAGCCGGATTTCCCCAGCCTGCTAACTCGATGATGCCCCGAACACGTGATGGATGTGAGGCACGGGCTAGCGCCGAACGGCAGAACGCTCCTTCGTTCATGGCCAATCCAGCTCAATAATACACTCCGCGGAAACTCCACATCTGCAATGCGATATCCCGCTTTTCTTCTTGCACCGTCAGCGCCTCGAGCCGTTCCCCAGAGGTTTCCCCAGACAGCTTCCCCAGAGATCAACAACAGCTAACGCGCTCCGAGGAGACCTCACGCGATACATTGCAACTGCTTCACCGGGCTCATTTAACACATCCTACCATCGTCTTATTTGATAGCACATGCTGCAAGCAGCACCATCCCTGATTAGCGTCCTGTCAACGTGATTCGGCCACCGTATAAACGGGCGGTCTCGCTTACGCCTGGGCGATGTCTGGGCCAAGCCGCCAACGGGTGGCTGGCTCTTCTTTGAATGCCAATCTTCCAACACTCTTGATCAGCCGAAGACGCCATAAGGTAGATGAGATCTAAGTATCCCGCTGCCCAGCCTGCACCGGCTGAATCACAGCAATTATTGAATGCGTTTCCTGCAGCTTCCCACGGCCCTGAACGCCCTCGACTCCTTCGCGGGATGCTCTGGCCGCTGTGCCCTTCCTTTGGAACCCACAAGAAAGGGCTTGCATGCGCGGCTGATGCGGCAATTGCTTCTTCAATGCTTGTTAGCGATCCCGAACGGGCTTTCAGCAGACTTGGCTACTCTTGCATGCCGTGCCCGCCCGCACCTAAGCAATCTTTGCCTGCGTTGGCATTCTGTCTTATCGAAAAGTCAAGTCTGACTGCATCAAAAGCAGCCATGTCCGATGCATCACCCAGCATGGTGGGTATGTGTACATTGAGGGCGCCTAAAGGTCGCGCAATCACATCGCTTTGTTCTGTGGGTTAACTAGCATCACGAGATGGGCAGGGTACTCTGTCGGATCACCCCAGACAATGTGCACGGAGTCAGTCCAAGTATCCACAACGCCCACCAACACCGAATCCTTTGAACCTCGCTTCCAGCCAGATGAGCCACCAAAGCTGGGAATAGTCTACAGTAATCATGACTATGTGGTGTACCGATGCTGGTTTAGTGTACTCCGACTCCGATCATGCGCAGCCACTCAACGAGATCCCACGCTCGGACCGTCGTTGTTGTCGGGATCTCCAGCCGTTCTTTCCTCTACAGGGGCAGAAATCAATGAATGACCGTTCGAGGCGGCTGCGCGAGCACGAGATCTTTGAAGGTTCTAACCAAGGCTCCGTCCCGTTGGCCGCCGTCGAACACCACAAGCGCCGCGCCACGAAACGACACAATTATCCTCAGAGCCTTGCCACTGGGGTATTAGGCTAAAAGGCTTCTCATCACGACTCGGTGGCTGCTCTAGTCGAGCCACCTGGTAGAATATCTCAAAAAAGCCAGTTGGGACGGTCAGTGCCGATTCAAGGTGTAATAGTTCGTCGTATGTCGTAGTGATCGGACCCAGTCCTCCACTTCGTTGGTTCAGTGGTATGTGATCGCCGTCCATGGACGATTAGGTCCTCTGTCTTTCACTCATGTGTCTCTTCTAATTGACTTGAAAATAGACACACGAGGAGACTGCCCAAATCCTGGCAACGATGCAAGAATAGCCTGCACCAAACGGCGAACAGCCTCCGATGTTTCACCGTATCCTTCCACGACGCGTGATATTTGACGATATCGACACGACCTTTGTACAACGGTGTATGATATGTGCCGTCTGCAGATGTCCTGTGGCTTTGTTTTTTCGGCCAAGTAAGTATGCGCATCCTGCGACACATCGCAGTGGTCAGAGCATACAGTGTTTTGCGTATCAGCTGACGCCATGTCTTGTTGTGTGTGCGCAGTTTGTATACCCGCCGAGCGTTGAGCGCGAATACGCCGGGATGCTGAGCACAGCACACCCCCATATCTTGGATGCGCGCATCTCCATCAGATATGCCTCATGCTGACCGATAGCTCGTTATTGATCTTGACAAGGAGATGTGAGCTGCATTATTCCGAGTAGGACCGCGTTCATCTCATTTCTGAATGCTGTGTCGACACCTATACGCCGGTAATCGGACCGAGAAGTAATATCATGGCCATATTTCGCTGTGTCAATTGATCAGCCTTCTGGTCTTACGCACTCTTTCCGGCGAATGGGTATTGTATTTGTTAACCCTTGTTATAAATGACACAAAACTGCGAACAAGGACTACAGTCTCGCGGGCCCCGTCGAACCCGCGTCTTTGGGTCAGTCGCCACGTCCACGGACTACAGGTTATTCGCGCACGATAGAGCTCCTCAGCTCCCCAAGACAGACATCAGTGCATTCGGGAACTCAGCCTTTTGCAGGATGACAAGGCTTTCTCAAGTCGAAGCAATGAGGCAAGAAGCAATGCCGAGAACAATGCTGCAAGCCACGATGGATACCGAAGAGGAGCGTCCACAACCCAAACACTGTATTCATTGGGTGCACTTACTAACTGCGCAACTCACATCCATCGCCTCTCCAGCCCGGTTTCCCCAATGACGAGGACAAGGTTGTGTGCGTCAATTTGCAGACAGGACAACAATATGCTCACTAAGTTGCAACAACTAATCATGGATTTCTAGTTGACGATACATACCGGACGAACGAAGCGCTCAGATCTCGAAACGTACGCACACCACAGACATGGGCTACAACGAACGTGCAGACACGGGATTGCTGGGAGAGCTGTACCCCACCACAATTGGGTCTTCGTCGTATCGTGCCCGTCAGGCTGAGTGGTGTGGACAGTCATCACTATGGTAGTTATTGATGAGCTGGGACCATTGGAAGCGATGAAACCCCTCGTTGAACGGTAGGCCTTGTGCGTATGGGCTCCAATCGAAGAGGCTACCGTGTTGCGCGGAATAGCCATGGAGCAACGAGTACAGGTATCATTGAAGGTGAGACAGAATCTGGACCTAGTGCCGGGCTTGTGCTGTGTCGATGTGTACGGAATAGGAGACTTTCCATGGTTGACAGAGTAGGGCAGGCCATGTATGCGGCGTCTACCTACCCAAGAACGAGGACTTCCCTACGCACCACACATCTTGCTAGCAATTTGGGACATTGCTAAACAGTATGTTGATAGGTGTGTATGGCGTCGGTCGGCGGTTTGGCTGTCGAAGACGTGGAGATATTCTTTCATCGTCTTGGTCAGCTAAAGTGGGTCCATTCGCGTTCCGTGGAGGAGCCGCCGCAGTTCGTCATGACTTTCCCCGTGCACCCGCCGCCGTCCATGGATCCTTCGCATTGCCCAGCTGCGCCCAGGACGTTACGACCACGATCAGCAAAATGTGGAGCAATAGCGGTTTGATACGAGGAAAGAAGTCTTGGGGCCGCGCCTGAATTCTTGGGTGTGCCACCGAAGGCGCGCAGTTGACGTCCAACACCATCCAACTTAGCAACAACACACTTCGGTCCCTATCTACTACACGTTCGCTTTTCGCACACACCTTCGCTACCAGTAGACATTGCATCATCTATCGGATCATGTTTGCGAAAACAGGCCTTCTTCTACTGACTGCAGTGGCGGGAGTGGTGAGAGGCGACTTCATGGTCTACACAGAACCGCCAATTCCCACGTCCGCCATTCCAACCTTCGCCAATCCATCCGATGTACGTTGAGCGCGAACCTGGGAGTCTACCGCCGTACTGACAATTACGCAGGCCCAGGAATGGACCACCTCCGTCTTCCTCAACGCGCAAATAGCGTACGGTCGCTTCACGGAATCCCTCGGCGAGCCCTACCAGTCCTCTCTCACGTCCGCGCGCTCCGAAATCGACGCCTTCGTTCGCACCGCCTCGAATTACAGCATTCCGGCTGAAGTCACCATGGCCGATGAGACCCCCACATACTTCTCCAAGCCAGATTGGTATACAGCCCTGCCGAGTGCGGCGAGGTCGTTCAAGGAACAACAGGTCAGCGATCAGTTCAGCATCGTGAGGAACGTTATTGCGGCGAGGGCTACCTCTACGACGGGTTCCGAGGGAGCCGCGATGCCGACTGCACTTGCTGGACAGTGGCTGGGGGCTGAGTTCGGCGTCATGGCTGCGGCGGCTGCGGCTGCCTTCTTGTGAGGAATACAAGAATTGGACTATGGGTAGATCGCATTTACACGAATAGACTTCTAGACTGCAATTGTACCCAGGAGGTACGCGTCAAGACTATGGATCATGCTATACAATGGATATATGGCGCGAAGAATGCCAATGAACGCACCTGTGCTCCCAAGGTGCTGTCAATCTGGGGTCCACCTACCATGTAATGCATTGATCAGCGTAAGCAAACCAGAGATGTGACATGCTAGCACATCAAGCCAAGTTGATGTACGCCCATCAAATCCTCCGCGAAAAGCACACCAATCACGCACGTCGCTATACGCAGATGACCCACTCCTGACTATGCACTCTTGGCGACAATGGCATGCAGAAGATCCAAGGAGACGTGAAGCAGCCAGACTTACTCTAGCAACAAAGAGTCCAACCGTCTTTCCACAATGTCGACTTCCGAGCCAACCCATACACCACGATTCCGTCCCTTCTCAGTCCACGTCCACCCCATTCCTCCGACCGAACCAAAGACATGTGCATACGAGCGCCGCCATTCCAACTCTGCCAAGTGCAAGAACGCCTTGGTCTTCATTGGTGGGCTGGGCACTGGTCCGCATACAACCCCCTACCTAGGACCTTTGAATGACGCCTTGGAACGTGCGAGTTTGAAAGATGGAAACGGCGTGCGCTATAGTATTTGGGAACTGAGAATGCGGAGCAGTTATACAGGGTTCGGATATGGAAGCTTGAAGGAGGATGCTGAAGACTTGAAGGAGTTGGTGCAGTATCTGAAAGAGATTGGGAAGGAAAAAGTTGTGTTGATTGGAAGTTCAACTGGTAAGTCGATGCTATCCTACCAACGCCATATGCTCTTCTTCGGGTTTCGCTAGTTACTGACGAATAAGAAGGATGTCAGGCCATCATGACATACGCAACTACCCTGCCAGCGCCTCCCCTGGTTGACGGCTACATCATGCAAGCTCCAACTTCAGATCGTGAAACAGCTGGACTGCTCATGCCACAGGATCTTCTCTCCGCTAGTCTCAAGCACGCCGAAGACCTCATTGCGAAAGGAGAAGAAAAGACTATCATGTCTAGCTCCTTCATCCCACCCATTATCACATCTCCGGTAACAGCATACCGCTGGCACTCTCTAGTCTCTGTGGGAGGCGACGACGACTTCTTCTCTTCCGATCTACCAGTTTCGACCCTCCAGTCCACATTCGGTAAACTGGACAAGCCGACGTTGATTCTGATATCAGAGAAAGACGAGATGGTCCCCCCGACCGTGGACAAGGAAGCCCTGCTCAAGAGGTGGATTGGCACGATTCCAGATGGGCTGGCGAGTAAGCAGTGTCAGATTATTCTGTTCGATGCTGACCATGAGCTCTCTGGTGATGAAGCAATGCGGCACTTCATCGAGACGGTTGTCAAATTTCTCGAGGGAATTGATGCGGTATCAGTTGGACAATCATGAAGATAGTCACATTGATAAATGTTATCTCGAGATCTCTCTTCGCTAAAGCACAACACCACTCATTTCACCCTTGCTCCTCGTCATGGTCAAAATGACGTCAGTGGCCCATCTGCACTCCACCCACTCATCGCACCTTCCCGTCGCGCATGTGCATGCGCAATGTAGCGACCCCGCTATGTCATGCATACCGTTTTCCAGGTTTCTGGTTCAATCAATACACTATTTAATCGCTAATGTATTGTCTATGTTCTTTCTTTTGACGATACCCAGGGCGAATACCTACGGCGCCACGAACTAGCTACTTCCGACGGCAACGCCACCGCCCAAGATGGGTATACCGTACTCCCGCCAAATCAACGCCGCGTTCGAACAAGTCACGCCCCTCGTAGCGGCGGGTTTCAAAGTTCTCCGTACAACGCGCGATATCTCGATCTTGCTTACCGTCATCCAAGTTCTTACCGTCATCCTCCTGGGATTTATCCTCGTTGCGCTCCTCTTACTGCTATACTGCGTGAATCCGGATCTGGAGGTTCGTCTTTCCTTCCAAGAATATCGGAGCCGATGAATTTAGATGCTAACACTATGTAGGAAGAAAGAAAAACCATCGTCACCCCATGGCTCCGGTACTTCGCTAGTATAACACTATGGTCGATATTCAAGACCTTGTTTTCTACGTTGGTCGTGATGGGGCTTGTGGCGGCGGCGACATGGCACTTTTTCCTGGCGAAACAGTGGGTGGAGGATGTGGAGTACGACGCGAATGTCGACGCTGATAAGGCGTTGTCGGACTTGGAAGGAGAAGGCGAAGTTGAAGGTGGCGGCAATGGAGGAAAGAAGGGGAAAGGTAAAGGGAAGAAGTGAGAAGAACGTTGACTGAAAGTGGCAGTGGTATTGCTTAATTGAGAACCCCTTCGTTGATACGAAGACTACGCTGGACCTACGTGACTACCGTAAACATTAGATGTACGACAATGAACACAACACTCGCCGGTATGTCTCCAAGAGCCACACCTACGCAACACAACCCTACAAAACCCTCTCCCTCGCACTAAACCCCTCACTATCAAGCAACAACAGCGCAAACAACCCTCCCATAACCGGTCTAGCCTTGAAATCAATACCAGAAGGCTGCGTCCCATCATTCGTCTGATAGAGATCGGTAAAAGGATGAGAGTTAGGTGTCTCGTTCACCCACTTGGCCAAATCCCCAATAAACATATCTCTCGTTTCCTTACTCGCTACCGCAGCACAGAAGACCTCCCAGTCAGACTTTGTGTAGTATCGATTCCGAGTATCGAGGGGTACGCCGTACTTTTCCTTGATGGTGGGGTAGAAGGCAGATTGTATATCGTAGATTTCCTGGGGCACGAGGTTGAGCCCGAGGAGGCGATCGTTGTAGAGATTGTATAGCAGGCCGTGGGTGGTTTCGTTTCCGTAGTTGAGGATAGAGTGAGGCGGGTTGTCGGCCTTGTTGATGCCTAAGTCAATCCAGCGGGTGATGTAGTCGTGGGCGATGGCGGTGTAGTTGTCTGCGTCTGCTGTTTCGCCGATGATGCGCGCCATCTGAGACATGGCTTCGAGACCGATGATGCCTTTTAGTGCGAGATTAGTTTGGTTGGCGAGTGCGCCCGCGAAGTCGTCGGTGGATAGTTGATCGGCTGGGAGAAGACTTTCTTCTACAAGATATTCGGTCCATTGCTTGAGGATGGGGTAGTGTTGGGTGATGTAGTCCGTGTTTCCGGATAGCTGGACGTATGCGAGCATCATGAACATATGGTTCCCGCATTCTTCCAGCGGCATGGGTTCGTCCAGACCGTCTGGGTGGCCGGTAGCGTTGGGGTAGTGCGCTCCAAGATCATGGATAGCGAACTTGTTTGGATAATGGCCGCTCTCCTGGTTCTCGAAGTGCGGGTCAAGCAACAGCTTGACTAATTCTGGGTTGGTATAGTAAAAGATTGGGGTAGCAGGGTAGATGACGTCCACAGTCTGCATATTTCCGTTGGACGATATCTCCTTGAGAAAGAGATAATGCTTGTCCTGAGTGCCGACAAGCTGAGTGGCACCAAATGCCTGACGAGCAGCTAAGCTAGTCAGAACAGCGTAATCATCTCCTGCAGCTGCTTTGGAATCCTTGGAGATCTTGTTGTCGAGCTCCGTAGAGAGTCTGTTGGACTCCTGGTAGTCTTTATAGAAGAAAGAAAGGGCGGCAAGATCGTCCTGGAAGTAACTTCTCCAAAGCGATGGCACGTTTTTGAGGCCGTCGGCGCCCAGAAACTGTATAGCATCGTCTTGACATAGACCGATAGTGTACAGCTGGCTCTTCACGTCAGAACCGACGGAACCCATGTTTAGAGCGTATCCAAAGACGGGCCATTCAGCGTTGATTGGTCGGAAGTCCGAGTCTGCCGCGTTGTCGAGGCTTCCATCGTTGTCAAAAGCATCGCGAACTTCAGAGTCTGCGCCGGACCTGTGCGTAAGACCTTCGACTGCTTCTGTGGAATAATACTGCTAATGTTAGATCATGATTTCACGCCTTTTGGTGGACTACTTACCCAATTACCCCACTCTGCGCGGTCGTTGACCTCACTCAAAGACTGTTGGTTTTGTTTCCAGATTTTGTGATAGCCGATACCATCTGATGTAGTACCGTAACTCCATTCAGCTACAGCAGCGACATCACCAGACGTCCATTCTATCTGCATGTCAACTCAAGCGCACGTTTAAAGGGAGCTAGAGATGCTTACCAGCACTGATATCTGTGTAGACCTGCACGTCATGTTGGGAGCCGTCTAGAGACGAGACCTCGACGTTCATGTACGAGAAGATAAGAGATTGACGCTTGAAGTCATTTGGAGTCAGTGGTGACATGAATGTAACCTTGAGCTGAACGGTATCGCCTGCGGTAACGGTGAAGATGCTCTTGGTAGACGTGTACTCGTATGATGTCTGATTGGCGAAATCGGTGTAGCCGTCGGGTTTCCCCATCCAGACAAAGGTATTGCCATCGACTTTGACCAAGCCAGTCCATCCTAAAATCTGACCACTGCTTGGTGTCAATATGCATCCAACACATGGCGTCGAGAGGGATCTTACGTCCAGAATGATGGCCACTGGCCTGGCAGATAGCCTCCGTTTCCTCCATCACTACCGGCAGGGAACCACGTGCTCAGATATGGACTCTTGACGGCCAGTGGTAGGGAGGGCGGACGAGCTGGAGTGAAGGTCGAGCTAGATTGTGCAGTAGTAGTGAGAAAGAAGGTGCACAGCACACTAAAACTGGGAAGATGCATCTTCAAGGATGCGAAATATTGATACCGGGCATGCGCGCAAAATCGGAGTAAGATGGAAAACGAAGGTTATATAGACACGAGATCCCGAGTCGATCTTCCGTTGGTATTACCACGTGCTCCCTGCAGCTAGCAATGAAAGATGCAGGCACCGGTGCGTGAAAATGGCCATTTCGTTTGTCAAAGGGGCCGTGATGTTTGTTGACAGCTTCACCCGTTCTACGGTCAGCACTAGCTTGGATTTAACGTTCAAGTGACGATACAAATGTCAGGAAGAGTTACCGGCGAACCTAAACAGCATGGGCGAAGCGCCGAACCTTTTTGATATTACACCACATGATGAAACTTTAGTGTCACCTTACCTTGTAGGCAACAAGTCCATGAAGCTCACTGACAAGGCTTTTTATCGGTGGCCAAGACTCTTGGTTACTTTGGGATATGCGGTGGTTGACCGCATCCGCAGAGGTACGCCTGACGTGCATCATAAGGTTATGCCAGGCTAGCTAGCGTCAGTGAGTACAAGGCTGATCAGTCCTCGAGACATGATGTCGGACTCCTGGTAATCAGTCGGGGAAATCAGGCGACCTTTTTCATTGCATTCCACGAGCGTCAAAACGAGGCCTTGCCTGATGTGGTAGAGCATCCACCACGCGCAATTAGAGGCGCTAAACAACGGTTTGCTTCCAGGACGGCAGGAGTGGCGACGTGAGTTGGCGCTGGCAGATTCACGATCCTCGTGATGCGACTGCTGCGGTGTTGATGAGCGACGGAGCACCGGTGTCCAGTAGTAGAGAGTACGAGTGACGTTGAACCGCGGATTTGGAAGGAGTGGTACTTACAGTACACGAGCGCACTGCTAGCGTTGTAATCGTTTGGATAGGGAAGGAGCTAAAGCACTCGCAGCGCAAAATCATATGTGGGTGTGAGATACCCGAGCAGAGCCAGCCACGATAGCGCAACGCCGTCCGTGCTTGGAGCAAAATGTGTGGATGCGACGGAACGTGTGGGTGTCGTACTGCGGGGAAGGCGTGCGCGGATCCGGAAAGTGCCATCGACATGCTTGCAGGTTCTGTATCTGGGGTTACCACCGGTCCAACGCAGTAGCACGAAGACCACGACTGTAGGTCTTTTGGACAACGTTGCCACGTTGTGTGCGTTAGTTGTCAAGTACCATGTGAGCACAACGATCATGAGACAGACAAGGCTTGTGAGTAGTGACAATACATTGCAGAAAGCTCATCATAATATGAGGTCGTATAAGCCGCTGATAGTCGCCGCGGGCATGACAGATAATGGAGTCTGTGGTGAAAACCACGCTCATCTGGCAGCCAAGTAAAGTACAATGCATCATAAGACCATCCATCCTTTGACCCAACCATTGATAAGAAAACGCCGGGAAGACCAGGATCATGAGTGGAATAATAGTGCAGGGTATCCAAAAGCCAACGGAAGTGACTGAATCGCAGAATGCCGGGTGATAAGCGAACACCAAGTATGAGCAAGAAAAAACGCAATGCAAACCGGGTATCCAAGGCCTGTCCAACACCAAACGTAACTCGTACAAGGAAAATCATCAGCTCATGACTCTGCAACCCAAGAGCGAGCCACGTGCTCGAAGCGTTGCTCGCAGTCGCGCAACAATGCGCACTCCAGGATATCATGGACATTCCAGCGCTTTTCAACGTCAGCCTCAAGGCAGCCCCTGACTAATGC